TCGGTAACTTTCTCCATGGTGTCTTTGTCAGTAGCATCAACCTCGAGTTCTGTGTTACCGAAGGTCATCTGTACCATTACAGACCTGTCCAGTCTCCTAGAAGTGTCAGGCATGGTGATTTTCAAGTGACCAATTTTAGTGCATCCGGCATCTGTTATGTACTTTGGGTTTTTTATGGGTCGAATTATACACTTCAAATGATAGGGTCGTTTGGTCTGGTTCAGCAGGTCTGTAACTATTTACTGCCTGTGGTTCTCCGATCTCCGTAACTGACATGGATATCAAATATACTAAACAAAAAAAAGAAAGGTAACACTACTTTATTCTGTGATTAATTAATTAATTAACCCCTTCATAAATCCTGACCAATCATTTACGAATAAAGTAATTGATCAATTCTGATAAAACTGCAGTCATGGTTCATTATAAAAATTTGCGTTCAGTTGATTTTATTCGACTGTAAAGGACGTTGGGGTCAATCTCAAAGGTAACACCATTAGTAACGGGTATGGCCACCGTTTGCGAAGTAAACAGCATTGCTGCGTCGTCGCATGGAACTCGTAAACCGGCGGATAATTCGAGGACAGATGTTGTTCCATTCAGCGATCAAGGCTTGGGCCAGCTCCTGCAAGTTTGACGGCTAATTTTGACGTTCTCTCACGTGTCGTCCAAGAACGTCCCAGACATGCTCAATCGGTGACAAATCATGTGATTTAGATGGCCAATCTATCACCTGTACGTTATTCTGCTGCAAGAAAGTTCTGCTGACGCGACTGGTGTGCGCTGGTACGTTATCCTGTTGAAAAATGGCGCCAACGCCATGGCGTCTTAAGAATGGCAGAACCACTGGTCTTAAAATTTCGTCCCGATATCGAATGCCGGTTCAATTGCCATTTAAACAACAAGCCTGGTACGAGTCCCCCACAAATACCACCCCAAACCATTACACTTCCGCCGCCAAAGCGGTCCCGTTCTGCGACGCAGCAGTTCGCAAAACGCTCCCCTCGTCGCCTTCAATCACCATGTTGCAGACAAAACCTGGAGTCATCTGGAAACAGAACATTGTTCCATTGTCGTAAGACCCAACGACGGTGAACTCAGGTCCAGTTACGCCGAGCATTGGATGAAAAGGTATTTTATACACCTTGCATTTATTTTCAGATGTCACAACTCAGTGCAATAGAAATAGAAAATTAATCTTACAACGTGTTTATTTTGTATGTGTTTTAGTTGTTGAAATTTACCAGAGCTGTATGTGCCAGGTCACCAATTTGAAGATCGCGGAGTCGACACACTGTGTGCAACAATACACCATTAAAATGGGGTACATATTAAAATTTCATGTGACGTAGAGATTCGATTTTCTACGTAGAATCCGGGGTCGGCAAAGCGAGGTAACGCACGCACGCACGCACGCACGGAGTCTCGGAGTGGATAGTATTTGGTACTTTTCTCGGAGTGGTTAGAAGTGGGTAATTGTCTCGGAGTAGGTAGAAGTGAGTAATTGTCTCGGAGTAGGGAGAAGTGGGTAGTTGTAGCGGAATGTGTTGTAGTTGGTACTTGTCTCGAAGTGGGTAGAAGTGGGTAGTTGTCTCGGAGTAGGTAGAAGTGAGTAATTGTCTCGGAGTAGGTAGAAGTGGTTAGTTGTAGCGGAATGTGTAGTAGTTGGTACTTTTCTCGGAGTGGGTAGAAGTGGGTAGTTGTCTCGGAGTGGGTAGTATTTGGTACTTGTCTCGGAGTGGGTAAAAGTTGGTCCTTGTTTTGAGAAGAAAATGATAGAAACTTGTCCTTGATTGGGTATAAGCTGAAGCGTTGAAAGGAAATGATGTAGGTAGCAATCCGCAGAAATCTCGCTGAGAATTAAAGTATGTGTATGTATATAGACTGTGTTACATCAGGAGTTTTATAATGATTAAGTCAAATTGGCTGGGAATACCATTACTTGCTTGTTTAGACATGATTGAAATTATGATGAAAAAAGGAAACTTATATATTTATAAATAAGTAAAACATTTCATGTATAAAAGAATATGCAAAATTTGAATTTATTTCAAACACGAACAAGAGGCCTAATGGGCGCTCACCTGATATATATACCACCTAAATATCATGCTCTCTATGTGTTTTATTTCATGAGAAGATGTCTTTTAAAGGTTTTAACAAATATGACCACTGTGACTTTGAACAAGGTTTAAGTAATTTCTTTTTGCTAACTTTGTTGAGCTTTATATTATGAACTTACCAGCCAAATGTTATGCCTCTAGGCATTTAGTTCAAGAGAAGAAGTGGTTTAAACATTTTAAGAATGTGACCCCTGTCACGTTGGGTTTCAGTCAAGGCCATATCTTTATCTCCTACCTCCATCCCAGCCAAATATAAAAACAGTTGGTCTTTTAGTTATTAGTTATGAGGTGAACTAATAAACAAAGTATGATCAGAGACGTTTATAAAACATGTGATATGGTACAATTCTGTGTTGTATTTAAGGAAAGTAAGAATACAAATTCCAATATTTTCATATGATATCAGCTTCCGAAATTGGCGAAAACACAGGTAAATACAGGTAAAAAGACAGGTAAATCATGTAATCTAAAATAGGCTATAATCCCTTGAACAACTTATCCCTGGTCGTATTATTTTTAAAAGTGGGCAAATCGGGATACAGATGTTACAGGTTCCTATTACATAACCCTATTAGTCGAGATGAACTTAACGATGTTTTAAAATGTGTCAAGCTTGGTTAGTCACCCAGAATCGATAATATATTGAATTTGTGTAAAATGTAAAGAAGTGTTTATTCCGATTCTTTCAAAATTATTCAATGCTATATTTTTGTTTAAGAGGAATTTCCATCCAGATGATCAAGAATTATTCAAGAAAGAAGGACAGTATTTGTTACAATGGTCACACTTTACAACGTGAGGAACATGTTTTTTTATAGAGGTCACACTCTATAACAGGTGTATTTAGTTATTGTATTGTTCACACTCCACAACGCGAAGAGACTATTGGTTATAAAAATCACCCTCTACAACGGGAGGGATGTGTTTGTTATAGAGGTCACACTCTACAAAGGGAGGAATCTATTTGTTATCGTGGTCAAACTTAAAAATTGGAGGTATATATTTCTTATAGAAGAAATTTATAGTTTTAAAAAGACATGTAAAAAGACATTCCCAAAGTTTAAAACAAATTTAACGTGACCTTATTAGCTGACAGGTCATCAAATTATCAAAGCATCATATTTGACTCTTTACATAAGCCAATTATCTCGATCTTTACTACAACGAAATAAACACGGAAAGCTTTCAACCAAGCTGTATGATAAGCGTGGGGATTCCAGTTTCCCTATTGTGAATGTTCCGTTAATTCCAGGACAGTTCTATTTGATTTAAAGTTGTCGCATATTGAATGAAAAACACTGTCGTTTTCTATTTTAGTTCTTTTACTAAGCATAGAAGTCTGACTCCCATTTGAAGAAGCTCGAGAACACAGAAGAGTGCCTGATAATATATGGCTTGTTAGATTGACTTCCCTGGTCTCTGTGGTGCATTTATTTTTAATGCTTACAGTGTTGACTTTTTAAAATCGAAAATTCCTACATGCCTAAACAATCAAGCTGTCTCTTGCTACATTTAGTGACTTTGTATATTCTTTTGGAATATCCTTTCGACAAGTTTACCTAACAAAACACCTCTACACCATTACCTCATTATGACTCTAGCATGACCTAACACAACACTTCTATACAACAAAATCGTCATATATTTCAGTTATGCCTCTATCCCACACATATCTTAGTTAATTTCCTATCATTCGAATCAAGCGGAAAGTGAATTAGTTCATTATCAAGTTACTTAACATTCTCTTTATTATCGACTTTGAGTTGGGGTTCAGAAGACGGCATATCAAAATCGGGTGGCGTTGTACGTAAATAGACATTATAATGGTCTCGGGACTTCCACTTACCACCAGTTTTATTTTTTTTTATCAGAATTGCCGTGTATTTAGATTTCCGCTCTACGTCGTTGTGGTGCGCTAGTGGTGTCCACCATCTTGCCATTCTTTTCTATGACTCGTTAATAATGCTAAGGGTCTAAATTATTTAATCATAACAGTCGACAGAGGAAAATCGAAACTGAGTAATTGCATTCAAATGAATATAATGTGGCATGCGAAAACAGTTTTACTTTGTACAACAAACACTTGGTGTCTTATTGCAGCATCTGCATTGATGTTTCAACGAATGACTGTCTGCTGCATTGTTTTTGCAACGTTTACCACAGGTTTCCTAATTCGTTTATGACAGGGCAATATCGGTATTAATCGTATTAAAAGATTATTCTCGATACAAGGGAATGCTTACGTGGTTGTGAGAAATAAAGCACCGACGAGCTATTTTTTTTATGAACATTATTGAACTTCTTACGAGTATTTAGCGACGGAAATGTATCATAGATGCGTATATATCAAACCACGTCATTTTGTAGCTGAGAATGAAACATTTTATGTAGTACTTTGGTGGATATTGTGTTGGGGGCGCACAGAAATGGAAAAGTAGAGAGCTCTAGAAGGTCTCATTCCAACTTGTAGACGTTTATCTTAACCTAGGTCAATTAGACCGCATACCATCAATTTAAATAAGATGATGAAGTTTGTTAAATTTTTCTTTTATTGGTTTGATATATGTTGTTCAATTGATCTGCTGTCTGTATCTGTTTATGTAAATAGTATGCTGCCTTTGATATGTGTTGTATATATGAATCATGAATTAATACATTAATATCACAGAACTGTATCAAATCTTCCAATTTATTGAAATGAGCATATTTAATTTTCAGTCATCCCACCACGAGCTGCTGATTTACAAGGAGCAAGTAATCATGTTTGGGGAAGGCAGACGTCTGAGGTTGATGAAAAATATCTTATTTATGGGACTTTTAATATATGCCATCTTCTCTACTGTCTCCATCTACAATTTCTATTTTCATCGGAACACGATGTCAGTGACACAAAGATGCACAAAATCTGCAGAGCTATCAAACCTTGACAAAAGACCACTTTTCGTATTAGGAATATTTTCAGCTGATCGGAATGTTGAATATAGGAATGCACTTCGGTCGACATGGCTGTCTACTGTAAATCTATTACAAGATACACTTCCTTTCAGAATAACATATAAGTTTCTAATGGACCAGCCAACAAAGATTACAATGTTAGAAAAGAGCAAATACAACGATATTCTTTTTCTAAATGTGACTATGAAGGGACGAGCGGTAAGATTTGGAGAGAAATTATATGTGTGGTATAAATACGTTCATGAAAAATACCCGGATGTGTCACTTATTGCAAAATTAGATGATGATACATTTATTTGTGTCCCACAGATTTTCAAAAGACTTAATGAACTGAAATCACAGACATTATATTATGGGTGGACACATGGTGGCGGACAGAAACTAAATGCAAAAGAGTTTTATTTAGACGAAATTTTTGTAGTTGTTGGTAAAAAAATAATAGATAGAATTGTTAAACGCAAATATTGTACAGATCAGAAAGGATGCAACGCTAGCATTGACTTGATTGATACTAACTTTGCTGATACGTCTTTAGTATCTTGGTTGTCTATTTACATTGATATTGATTACGTTGCAGATAACAAAATGATTATTCACATGGGCCGAGGTCATGAAGCAACGATACTGATGAACATAAAGCCAGGATTTTGTACAAGGTATATCCTAAACCACAAATCATCCGTGGATGTGATGAAGCAACTCCATAAATATAACACACCTGTAACCTTCTCAAATGTTGGGTCCATTGGTTCTGTAACCGGATCGTTGTTTTCGGGTCATGTCGTAAGAACACTTTTACCGACGTCGATAACGAATAAGTATAAATATTTGGCAATGTTAGACAAAATGCCAGAGTGCAATAACTGGGCTGTTGTCACGACAATACATTCTCCATCAAAAGCTATGAAAACCATAGCGTCGCTGTCGAATTGGTGCCTAGTTATAGTAGCTGACAATTTGACACCGTTGGAGGGTACATATCTCCCAGGACTTGGATTTGATAAGACCCGAAACAGAATCAAATATCTTTCTGTAAAGGAACAAAGCAAGTTATATCCTTTGTTATCAGAAATTATACCAATTAATCATTTTGGAAGAAAAAACATTGGATATATGTATGCTATCCATCACAAAGCTAAATATATATGGGACTTCGATGACGATAATAATGGAATGATTGAACTAAACGATTTCAAAATGGAAACACATTTCCATTACGTCACAGTTTGTAAAGGTATGAAAAGTATTCTCCTAAACCCTTATACATATTTCGGAGTGGAGGAAACTTATACCTGGCCAAGGGGATTTCCCCTACAAGATATTAGAAACGAAACTACTAAACCAAAACTATGCAATTCAAGTGATACATTGACTCTTGGCATCGTGCAATCATTAGCCAATAATCAGCCAGACATAGATGCTATTTATAGACTGACACGTGATGTTCCTTTTGACTTTAAAGCAACCAGAAAGTCTCATCTCTCATTAGTGTTGCCTAAATATTCCTATGCACCATTCAATGCCCAGGCGAATTTATGGCTACCGCCGGCGTTTCCTTACCTAGCATTACCTATTAGTGTGAATGGGCGTGTCAGTGATATTTGGAGAAGCTACATTGCTCAATTCTTTCTTCACAGAAAAGATATCCGTTTGGCCTTTTCGCCACCGTATGTCACACAAGAAAGAAACTCTCATAATATCTTAAAAGATTTTAATGCAGAGTTGGATTTGTACCACAAAAGTAAAGAGTTGGTGGAATTCCTTTCATCGGAAAAATCTGGCAATTTGACAGATATTTGGGAGCTGTACAAAAATTTATATATGAGAGAATATATAGAGCAATTCGATATACAATTCGCTGAGGCATGGAAAATGACACTGACAAGTATTGGCCAAGTGATATAGATTATCATATTTATTGATAAATATACGAAATGCTGACAACTGAACAAAAAATGTACATCCTTTCCCCTATAAATAATATTAAACTTTATAGTAAACCAATTAAGATAAATAGAAATATCAATTTCAATATCTCACCAATTTACACCGTTTAGAGCCATCTGTGTGCTTATCGAATCAGTTGCCGAATTTTCACTCTGACCCGTACCAATGTACATGTACATACTGAATCTTTACTATAGTCTCCAAACCACAATACTAGAAAGGATAATGAGACGAGTCAAAAAACTTTTTGAGTATCTGGTGAGGCGAGCTAAAACGAAAAATGTTACCATAGGTTGAATAAAAATGAAAATATTAAACAAACCGCGCTTTTCTATTTTATGTTGAAGTCTTCCATATAAGTTCTTGTTAAACTTCTGTCCGCATGATGTGTCATGTGACTTGATTTTATTAATGAATAGCATGATCATCACGAGATAGATTAATATCTCCATGACAATCCACCTATACAGCTGGATAGACAGAAATGAAATTGTGATTGGCAGTAAGACGTCATAATTATAGCTGTTGTGTTGATAACAGTTACCCATCAACATAGCTTGCTCATCTGAATGATAATGTGAAATAGCAGTGAAAAATTTAGTACACTTTCAACAGAGTAAGAATGTTTGTACAACAATAGAATGTGTACGAAAATTAATAAAGATAATACAGGCAGTACATAATATGAATAAACTTTATTGGAAAAGGCTTCATTGGAAATCATAAAAAGGTCAACAAAACGTCATTGTAAACTTAAGGCAAAAATTGACAATATGGAAGGGAGGAAATATACGTTTTGTTGACACTTGAATCACGTATATTTTTGCGACGTTTTAAGATTTATTTACGAAAATTATTTACAAAATTTATGATGTATATTCATTTACGTTCTAAAACATTTGCAACTTTCAAAATATTTATCAACAGAAAATAATCAATTACTGAAATGATGTTTATGTGTTATGATTTTGTAGCATCAAGAGAAACAGTCGAATGGCCAACTAATGTTAGCCTTTGCTCTGTACTCTATTCCTTTGTGTATTGTCCATATTTGTGGGTTACTCTCGTTACTTTCTTTCACTCACTATATCAACGATGAAAGCATTACAGGTGGGTTACCGGCGGTGATTTTTGTGTCTTGAGAAAAAGGGATAAACTATTTGTGAACTAACATGGATATTTTTATCATTTGGAGGCGGACAAAAAAGTTATTCTTTCAAATGTATAATTTGTTTGTTAAATTACATGAACATTGTATATACGTCATTTTTTTTATTGTGGTGGAAGACATTTTTCACCTTTACTCTTCAATAAAGTATACTTTCCAACGCATAATTGTACATAAACACTGTATATACATAATTTTTATTATTTGGTGACATTTCTTTCCATATTTCGCAATAAAGTATGATGAATATTGTATTTACTTTGTAATATTAGTAAGTATGGAATGCGATTACAATTTCTATGTTAAGGTATCCTATAAAGGAGTATTAAACAGTGAAATAGAGCCAACTTTAGTTCCGATGTTGGTGGGTTGTTCAGTGGGGTGCTATGAAATTAAGCTTAGGTAACCGAACTAAGCGATTAAATAAATGGAAAGAACAATCGGTAAGTCGGATATTCACTTCTTTAGGTATAGGCATCAACAGGAGGCGAAACTAGTTGACAACGACAAGTATTCAACTTGCTTGAAAGACGGAGATACAAATGTGTGATATAGTATGCTATTGTTAATGCAATGGTATTTGTAACAGTGCTTAAAAGATTGATGTGTTTTTATCATATTTTTCTCTTAATATAATGTTTATGTAGGTTACACCAACGGAATCAACAAACTGACGAACATCATACACGTCGAGCTACGTATGTGTATGATGTTCGTAACTTTGATGTGATTTGCGTCGATGAAGAATATATTATTGTAAATACGCATTTATGTTGAAATAATCTAGTACAGTGTATCTAAAAAGTAGATAACAAAGATTTAGGTAGAACAGCTTTTGTTAGGAACTTCTTTTCATTAGATGTTATACACTTGTTGAAATAGAGATGTTATAATGGTATAGCATGGATCTAAACTGTAACCAGAGAATATCAACATACATGATGAAGCAAATGCTGGGAAACACTCAATATAATAAATGACATCCATTTTGTTAAAAAGAATGTGTGTTGACTTGCCACCTTTTGGAATACAGGTGATAGAACCTTGTTTGTAGCTTAGTGGTAATGGACCATTCATTTATCCATATTTTAATGTTCCGACAATAAACGATTTAATATTTATTAAAAAAATAAAATGCTTTAATTGTAATTTTCATCTATCATGGTCACGTGTTTACATTTGAAAAGAAAAACAGGGGGAGGGGATGAGGGCGAATTGTTGATTGTAAAAATAACGCTAGCTGTCACGAACGAAAGTGTGTAGTAACATATTTTTGTTAGGAAAGGGATCACGTGAGCGTATGTGTGAACGCATGAGTGAGTGCAGGTGGTGTGTGACCGGGAAGGTAAGAACGACGTTCAGTGTGTATGGTACCTGTTTACTCGTGTTCGGATCAGTTTTGGCCATAGTATGTACGGAGCCTAGAACTCTGACTTGGCTTCACATGATGGGCAGATGACATACGCACCACCTAGAGCCAACAACAAGGTGACTTACAGACAGTGGCGTGAGGACCGACCAGCATTATATGTCGTCGGGGTCAAGGTCAGCTACTATAAGGAACGTCACGCTCACTAGACGGACTATATGGGGAGGCCCGGATTGTACCAAGCTTCTGGTTTGTTGGCCAGAGTTATTGGACCGAGGTTGTTACCCATATCACCAGAGTAGTTTACCTTCTGTTACTAAATATACTGCTAGCGCGGTGTATACTACTGGAGATATATTATTCACTGTCAACAAATGCTGTTAAGTGAAGTATTACAACAACCCATCTATCCGTGGAAAGACTGTAGGGTCTACCATTACTAGTATAAGAAAGTTACTGAATGATAGCGAGTGTGAACCTGTCAGTATTTAGGTTTATTTTATGTAAATAAATTCGTATATATATGTTACTATTCTTGGTTTCCTTTTTTCCCTCGAATGCTAAACTGAGGCTCGTCCCGCTTTACAGTAGCCATTCAATACCAAGTATAGCCTTAATTAGTCCTTCATTTTACTAAGTATAGCCTACAGTAGTCATTCATTACCAAGTATAGCATAAAGTAATTCTTCATTACCAAGTATAGCCTTAATTAGTCCTTCATTTTACTAAGTATAGCCTACATTAGTCATTCATTACCAAGTATAGCATAAACTAACCTAAATTAATTTTACAGTCTTTTCAAATTACTCTACTGATCATTGTAGCAACATAGGATAACCATTTCTACATGGAGTATGACCTAGAGACTGATGATATCGACACTTCTGCCAAGACCTCGGACAACGGACATGACACATTCACACATCAGTCTGTGAAAAAATGATAAACAATCAACATCAGTCTGACATTGTTATTTTTAAGCTGATTTGAGGCGAGGTGAGATCTTAGCACTAAGATGGAATACTCTGTAAACTTGGAATTTCGTTCCTTGTTGTATATTTGTATATAAATTTGTTATTCAAAATTCATATTCGGGTTTGCGTATTCCTTTTCCTTAGCACCAGTCCTTCCATTAACTCTGCAAGCAGCAGCAGCCAAAATTTATTGATTTTACAATGAACCCATTTAATCGTCTCCAAAAGCATTTTAAAAATTCCACAATGAAACCATCTGTACCGGGGTTTTATTATTTTTCATGTTTTTAAAAGTATTTGCTGCTTCGTCCATAGTAATTTTCTCCTCTAAACTCTTAGAAACATTATCATCTAGTTTTGGAACATTACAAATACATAATAAATCATTTAGGTTAAAATCTTCTAAATCGTTATTTTCAACATATAGTTGCTCTTAAATCCTTCCTGAAGAATTTCATTTTGCTGTTTAGTGTGCTCCTATCATCAGTCTCTAATTTTGGAAAAAACAAAATGACGTAAAATTTCTACATCCTAAATTGAGAAAGTATTGTATAGACTTTCCCCGTTGTCCTGCCATTTTGCCCGAGATCTTACAAAGCTACCTTAATCTTTCCCTGTCTGATAATTTCCAATTGTTTGTTTAGTTGTTCTAGTTTTTTCATGTTGTTTGTATGATGAAAGGAGGTCACGGCGCCAATTTGTTGAAGTATGATGATGTTTGTATGATGAAAGGAGGTCACGGCGCCAATTTGTTGAAGCATGATAGTGTTTGTACGATGAAAGGAGAATGATGAAAGGAGGGTGATGTCAACAAGTGCAGTGTTCTTGTTTATTGATTTAAGTGAGATACATACCAGATGATACGTGTCTGGAGACCGACCCACTATCAACATATAAAAAGGGTTTATATACCATTTCTAACAAGAATGATTGATTGATCCATAAAAATGATGAAGGATCAAGGTGACCAGACCAAAAATGTCTAACTTGTCAAACATTTAAGATCTAATGATATAATACCGTTTGTACCTGGTTACTTGATAACACGTATTTCTGCTATGTAAACATGTATTTCATTTCAGTAATAATTACCAGAACTTTAGTATGCAAATATGGTACCTATACCCATCTTTGTACCCCAAAAACAAAAGATTAAAAAGTCTCCTTTTGCAGTTGTTTGCCTCGGTATGTTGGTTTTTCTCTTGTTATCGTGGCTTCGTTTAGTTAGATTTTCAAAACTTTCTTGCGTCAGAGTACAGCATATGAGTGTTCCCATGTCTTCAGGTATGGACCTTGTAATAAGACTGTTCACACGTGTAGTCTTTCGTCAAGGCCCCCAGTCTGTTCGACGAGCTTTCAGCCCTAAGAGGAATTCGACCTCTTCTTCCGGCAGGAGAAGTAAGCCTGTTAGGTCGTCTGCCCCCGGTTCTATAGCTCCTCCATCGGG